TAGTACTTAATAATCCTAATTTGTTAAGTGTCTTTTGGGTCCAACTCTGTGCACATAGGTGATGCAGGACAGAGGAAATGGTCTCTGCACTCTATGGTGTAACTCTAGAGATAATACATGGATGGATGCAACCACATTACAGGGCAGTTCGTCAGGTCTATAACACTGGTAGAGTTAAATTGGTATAGGAGTTTAGATAAATGGAGAGATTGCTGATTGGATGTCAGGGAACTTTCATGGTAAGATGAATTTGAAGACTCCTTTATACTGATTACCATTACTATCATTTATAACAGAGCTTGACAGAATGACCAAAGTAAAACTCCTGCTTACCTAGGGTTTTTCATTTGGTGAATTGAGAGTATGACACAATGGTTAAGAGTAAAATATCCACTATGTTCTCAATGGATGTTATCCGTCATTATCATCAGTTATGCTTACCTTCAAAACTCATCAGTACAGTGCTTCTTCACAAAGTCTTTCCTACCAAACCAAAGGGTATGAATTACCCCCTCTTCTTTATTCCTAGGAGGGTCTCAGCATGTCATTACCAAAGCACTGATCTATGACATCAGTTTCTAATTACTGCTTTACTTCTCTGTCTCTCCCACTAAAATTTCCTGAGGTTGTGGAACATGTATATTCCCACACCTAACATGATTCCTAGTGTCTAAGGCTCAATGAAAGTTTTTGAATGAACTCAATGAAGATTATATTCAGTGTAAGAAAATGGATGTATTTATATAAGGTTGACAGTAGTGATGATGGAAAGAAATAGAGGATTCAGATTATGTTCTGAGATAGAATTGATGAGATTTATTGAAGGATTAGATGTGAAGAGTGAGAGAGATGGATGAACCAAAACTTGAAGAGTTGGGTAATGCCATTAATTGAGATGAGGAAAAGTGGAGGATGAGCCAGCTCTGTTTTGTAAATGTTTGAGAAGCTTATTTCCCTTTTGAGTAAAACCATCATATGAGTTTGGAGCTCAAAAAAGAGATCAAGACAGGACACATAAATCAGGAAGTCCGTAAGGGATGACATTTAAAACCATGTAGCTAGATGACATTGCCTTCTGGGTAATTTAAGGAGAGAAGAGGGCCCAGAACCAAGCCTGCAGCAGTCCAGCATTCAGGTCTGGAAGGGATAGAGATGCTAGCTAAAGAAACCGAAGGGGTAGCAGAATACTAGAGGAAGCCTTCTCCAGGAATCACCAGTTGGGCCAAATACTGCTGAGTCAGTAGGATGAAAAGTGGTCATTGGATTGGCAGTACAGTGGTTGTTGGTGGCCTTGACTGTGTGGTAATGGGGTCCAGAAGCCAAACTGGGAAGGGTTCAAGAGTAGATAGGAAGTGAGGGAGTGGATCTGTTGGAGCTGAGTCCTTGAGTAGGCTAAAGGGCATGGGACTTGTCTGCAGCACCGTCAGCTTCCCAGGTTATTCCAGCAGCTCTCATCTGAACTCATGCACTGCCCTCCAAAATCTTTTTTTCTTTTTTTTTTTTTTTTGAGACAGAGCCTCAAGCTATCACCCTGAATAGAGTGCTGTGGCGTCACAGCTTACAGCAACCTCCGACTCCTGGGCTCAAGTGAATCTTCTGCCTCCACCTCCCAAATAACTGGGGTAACAGGCGCCCACCACAACACTCAGCTATTTTTTGGTTGCAGCCGTCATTGTTGTTTGCTGGGCCCGGGCTGGATTTGAACCCGCCAGCTCAGGTGCCTTAGCTGCTTGAGCCACAGGCGCCGAGCCAAATCTTTTTTTCTTCCTCCTGGAGATGTAGCTTGGACAGACACCTTGTGGTAACAAGTTCATCTTCTTTCTCCCCTGTCCCCATGTAATCAGGTGCCATGGCTGTTGAATCTTCTCTCCGGCATTTTTCACATGACACTCCCCTTTCATTATCATTGCCACTTATGTTGCTCTTGCCAGGCATTAATTAGCTCTTCTCCAAAGCGTTCTCATAGTTTCCTAAACACACCCTGCTTTTATTCTCTCCCTTGCCAAAACATCCATCAGTCACAGCTAGAAGGTTCTTCCTAAAGCACAGCTTTGCTCATGTTATTCTTCTGCTAAAAATAAAACCAAGTCTTTCAGCCTGCTGTTCTGAAGTATTTGCTCCAGGACAGATACCCATGATGTATTGCTGTTCTGAAGTCATTTCCCTACCTATAACCTGCATCTTTTGGGCTCTGTGCCTTCCTGGTCACCACTGCCTGTGCTGGATGTGCCTTCTCCTGCCGTCTTAGTACCTCTAACAGATGGTGGAATCTGCCTTAAAAATTATAAAATTTGGCTCAGTGCCTGTAGCTCAGCAGCTAGGGCACCAGCCACATACACCAGAACTGGCAGTTTCAAGCCTGGCCTGGGCCTGCCAAATAACGACAGCTACATCCAAAAAATAGCCAGGTATTGCGGTGGGCACCTGTACTCCCAGCTACTTGGGAGGCTGAGGCAAGAGAATCACGTAAGCCCAAGAGTTTGAGGTTGCTGTGAGCTGTGACACTACAGCACTCTACGGAGGGCGACACAATGAGACTCTGTCTCAAAAAAAAAAAATTATACAATTTCAGCACTTGATGCTGTGCTTTACTTTATCCATTCTTTAAAAGAACCATAATACTGAATTTTTTTCCTTTAAACTAGTTACCTATACTACCACTACTTCAACAAGTCTTTCTTAGGACAGGGTGCAGAATTATTTACTCTGAAAGTACATTCCTTGGAGATGCTGCTCAGGACGGTATTGGTGTGGGTTGTGATGTTAGATGGAGGATGATTCCCAGGAGAGCAGTGGGCTGGCCTCGCCCTCCCTCCTCTGCAGCAGTTGCCGTGGACTGGGCCAGGCAGCCGGGCAGTGGAGTGTTGAAAGACCACTCTCCTGTCTGGGCAGTTACTCATGAATATGGTAGATGCTGGATTCTTTGTTTTCTGGTTTATGTTTATGGTCTTTAGGGGTGGCGGAAAGGGAAGAACAATGTGTGTGAAATTGCTATTCTGAGTTTCAGCTTTGTGAAACAAGAAGCACTTGTCACACATTCTAAAAGAAGAAAATCAGAAGCTCTCTAAAGATTGCAATCATAGAAGACACAATTACTCATTAGACTGTTGACTGAGTGTTCTGTCAGTGCCTCCCCTATCAGTGATCTCAGGGTATTGCCAAGGTGAGGGCATCACTAACAAGTACATGGAAAGTGTCTCTTCCAGCTTTGTATGATACTTGCTGTCTTCCTTTTAGGTACTTTGGTTTTCATCCCATTATTGGAATATAAAGTAGGTTTTAGGCATGTTTAACTTATACCTAGCTAAGACTTTTTTTTTTTTAAGAGACAGGGTCTTGCTTTGTCACCCTAGCTAGGGTGTAGTGGCATGATCATAGCTCGCTGCAGCCTTGAACTCCTGGACTTAAGTGATTCTCTTGCCTCAGCATCCACAGTAGAACTACAGGCATGTGCCACCACACCTGGCTAATTTTTAAATTTTTGGTAGAGATGGGGTCAGACTGACTTCAAACACCTGACCTCAAGCAATTCTCCCACCCTGGCCTCCCAAAGTACTAGAATTACCTGGCTAAACTTTTAAGAATAAAATTGATTGCTGAGTGAGGTGACTCACACCTGTAATCCTAGCACTCTGGGAGGCTGAGGCAGATGGGTTGCTTGAGCTCAGGAGTTTAAAACCAGCCTGAGCTAGAGTAAGACCCCATCTCTACTGAAAAAAGAAAAACTATCCAGGCATTGTGGTGAGTGCCTGTGGCCCCAGCTATTGGGAAAGCTAAGGCAAGAGGATCATTTAAGCCCATGAGTTTCAGGTTGCTGTGAGCTATGGCCCTATGGCACTCTAGCCTGGGGCAACAGAGTGTGACTGTGTTAAAAAAAGAGAGAGAGAATGAAATTGACTATTGGCTGATGGGTAACAATTGCATTGTTTATTGAAAAGATAGGATTGAAAGTTACATTCTCTTTTGTAATTTATGAACCATAGTGCTGGAGAATTATTATGAGTAGGTATTTTTAGGAAAAGAAGAGTGGGATGTACATCTGATTTAAGAAGCTTCACTTTGGCTGTTGCAAGAACATTATCTGCTTGACCTTTCAGTAGGCATCTTGCCTGTGTTTTGTACCAGCTGTTAATTGTAGTGAACTCTTTTGGAACATGAGAGTATTATAATTAAAAATGTACAACTCTGATTTGAGAATTGACAACATCTCTAGGTTTTTAGTAAAACCTAGCATGCAAATAAAAGATACAAGTCTCATATTTTAAGTGGGATAACAAGCCTTTACTAAACTTGCCTGCTCAATATAAGTTTATATTAGTACTGATAATGAGAAGAAATATATAATTGCAAAATTATGAGAGAAGACTTGAAAATATCTTGCTTTGGCCTCTTTGTTTATTTTAGGAGCATTAATCTTTTCCCCCATTGTACATTTCCCCAGGAAGCTTTGTATTTTGGCATCCTTAATTGACATTGACAAAATAACAAACCAGAAGATTCCTGGAGCCTTGGCCCTTTTGTGGCAAGATGAGCTGTGGGTCTCCATCCTTTGCTGTGTGCTTTCCCCCCTTTTCTCCTTCGTTGTTGACAGAGGGAAATAACTGCTCCTATTCTGGATAATTTTTAACTAAAGACCACAGAATTCCATTATTTAATCTTTATCAATAGAGTAAAAATCATGTTAAGTGCTATTATAAACATGTATGAGATGTTCATAGTTGGCATTAAAATGTTCTCTGTTTTCTTCTAAGTGTTTTGTTGTTTTAATTGTTTAAATTTTGAAAGAATTTTTTTAGCTGTTAAGAGTTAATAGCAGAAGTAACTGAAAAATAGTTGTTTTAGACTAATTATGCTGGAAATTTCAGTAAAGCGTAATTGATGTGTAAGCATCCAGAAATACCTCTCTGGGCATCAAAAGCATATAAGTTTTTATTATAATGTAAGAATAGTTTCCACTGGAAATTGATTATTTTAATTTGCATTTTCTTATTTTTCTACAGGAAGGAACTTGAAACCTTCAAAGGTAATTTTGTGTTCAATTCTTCACTTTAAAGTACTTGAGAGTTAAATTGATATCAGGCGTACCCTCTTGATGATGGAAGAACTCATTCCTTTTTAAAATTGTTTCACATCAAAAGTCAAAGTTGGCTCAGCGCCTATAGCTCAACCGGCTAAGGCGCCAGCCACGTACACCTAAGGTGGCAGGTTCGAATCCCCAGCCCGGACCCACCAAACAACAA